TGCGAAAATTAAATTGGCCAGTGTAGACAGCTGGCAAGTTTTCCCGCAAAAGCAGCCATTTTTGAGAAAAAACTTGCCAGTCTAGATGCAGCTATGTGTATATCAAACTTGTTATAGTTATCCTCCAACCTGTCTAGCCAAATATTTTTCTATAGACCTCATCACTATAATATCCTAAATCAGGGGTGGGCAATCATTTTTGACGGGGGGAGGGGCTCTCTAAGATTTTGGAAAGTAGTTGAGGGCCGCATTCTACCATTATATTAATAAAGGAGATGCAGGGTCTGGGATAGAGGTTGGATGCAGAAGGGAGCTTGGGGTAAGAGATTGGGGTGCAGAAGGGAGACTGGATTCTGGGAGGGAGTTTGGGTGAGTAAGGTAGTTGTGACTCAGGGCAGGGGACCAGGGGTGGATGAGAGTGCCGTGGGGCCCAGGGCAGCGCCGCAGGGCCCCGGGCAGCAAAATTGTGCGCCCCCCCCCTTTGACACAGCGCATGCGCTGTGGTGCCAAGGCGCATGCGCGGGGCCTCGGGAAGTGCGGTGCCCGGGGCAGCCGCCCCGCTAGCCCTGCCCTAAATCTGCCGCTGCAAGGGACTGGAGTGCAGGGATTTGAGATGTGACTTAGGGTAGGAGGGGATTGTCATCTGGGGGAGGAGATTGGGGTGCTAGATCTGGGAGGACGTATGAGTGCAAAAGGGGGACAGAGGTGTTGGGTATGTTGAGGGGGGGCTGAGGGTTGTGGCAGGAAAGGGCTGAGGTGTCAGAAGCAGGCTGAGAATCTGCCGCTGCAAGGGACTGGAGTGCAGGGATTTGAGATGTGACTTAGGGTAGGAGGGGATTGTCATCTGGGGGAGGAGATTGGGGTGCTAGATCTGGGAGGACGTATGGGTGCAAAAGGGGGACAGAGGTGTTGGGTATGTTGAGGGGGGGCTGAGGGTTGTGGCAGGAAAGGGCTGAGGTGTCAGAAGCAGGCTGAGGCCAAGAGACTTAATTGTCAGCTGCCAAACCTGCCTGCCTGCCTGCCTGAAGAGGTTAAAACGTTTCCCAGCCAGCCTGCATGCCTCCTTGCCTAGCCATGTGCTTCATTGAATAACTGAGCTGAGGAAAGGGAGCGTGGTTCTTCTTGACTGCCTGTTATTCCAACAAGCAGGTCCTACTGTCTGGTTTCTGGCCAGAAACCAGCCAACGGGATTGTGCTGGGGGTGGGGCGGCTCCTGAAACTTCGCCCCTCCATTCCAGTTTTAAAACAGAAATGGAACCCTGCAACCGCATTTCTTCATGGCATGCGGGGCTGCAGGGCAAGCAGGGGAACTTAGGGTTCCTGCCCGGGGCTCCCTGATGCCTCTGTGGCTTGGATCCGGTGGCTTGGTGGACTTGATCCGGCTTGCAGGCCGTATTTTGCCCAGGCTTGTCCTAAATACTTATTTTTCCAGACACACATGTAGATATTGAAATTCCCATGTATCAATCAGTTAAGAAGGAAAAGGGAGGAACTTTATAGAAAAGAGTTGCATTATTCAATTTTATGGGGAGTAATTAGTAGTCCATTATTTTATTTTCTGGGTTGTAAAGCTATTGACAGTGTTTGGTGTTTTATAAAGTAAAAGTAACTTTTGTTTCTTAGGGATGTGCAAAGATTTTATCAGCCTCATCTGGAGCAGACAAGAGAAATAAATGATTCTAGAAGTTATCAAACTAGATATGAAAAAAACATACTAGATGGTCTTTCTTCCTGTAAGCAGAGCATTGTTCCTGATGTTCTAGTCATATCTTATCTGAACTGAAAATTATAATAGTATTTGATTGTTTTATGACTGTGCCAATAGGATAGTGTCATTAACTGAATTATTCAACAGTTGGAGGGCAACTAATCCTGTTGTTGTCTTCTTTTTCTACCCTTTCTTTTTTTACGCTTTCAGTTTTTAGTAAAGTGATATCACTTGCTTTAAAAAATGTGAAATATTGTCTAAGCCCTAAGTAATAAGCCAAATTATTTTAGTGAAATTAAAATTGTATATGTAAGAAGTGCAAATAAATCTACAAACTGGGAAGTTTTCTTCCATGATCATTCATGTTATGTGGCATGTTTGTCATATTGGGCCCAGTACTGCATTCTTTATGTGCACAAAATTTCTCCTGAAACCAGTAGGAGTTTGGTGGGTGCATGGACTGCAGAATCAGACTTGTTGTGGTGGTTTTATCTCTCTTATTTCATGACTGATCAGTTTTGGATCTGGGCCAAAACGAACTTTTACCCCAGGTTGCGTCTAGATTGGCATGATTTTCTGGAAATGATTTTAACGGAAAACTTTTCCGTTAAAAGCATTTTCAGAACAGAGTGTCTAGATTGGCATGGACGCTTTTCTGCAAAAGCACTTTTTGCGGAAAAGCGTCCGTGCCAATCTAGATGCGCTTTTCCCCAAAAAAGCCCCGATCGCCATTTTCGCGATTGGGGCTTTTTTGCAGAAAACAAATCTGAGCTGTCTACACTGGCTCTTTTGCGCAAAAGCTTTGCGCAAAAAGGACTTTTGCCTGAACGGGAGAAGAATAATATTTCTGCAAGAAGCACTGATTTCTTACAGTAGGAAGTCAGTGCTTTTGCGGAAATTCAAGTGACCAGTGTAGACAGCTGCAAGCTTTTCCGGAAAAGCGGCTGATTTTCCGGAAAGACTGGCCAGTCTAGACACAGCCCCATTGTTTTTCAGTAATAAAATTACTCCAGTTTCTTGTTCTGTTGCCTCTTGAAGGAAACGAAGCTTCTCCAGCATTTCATCAAATTCTTTTCAAATGAATAAAATCATGCATCGTAAAAGAAAATAAACTTCAAATTATTCAATGAGCACTTTCTGTTGCAGTGAAATTGCACCATAAATTCATTGCCAACTGCAATGTACTACACTGGGTTGTGCAACCCAGAGGATGCTTTCAAGTTTAATTACAATCATTGTACTTTTGTTTCCTTTGCCAGCTGGTGATGGAGTTCTGTGGTGCTGGCTCTGTCACCGATCTGATCAAAAACACAAAAGGGAACACTTTGAAGGAGGAGTGGATTGCATACATCTGCAGGGAGATTTTACGGGTACGTGTCCAAAGTGAGCTTCTATGATTCTGAATGTCAATCACCAAATGCAGTGTTTGAGGTTGGGCTTAGAGAAGAGGTAAATCTTACGGGACTGCACATCAGGCCGTATGGCTAATATACTGGCATAAGCTAATGCTTCTTATGTGCCTATAGGTTTGAACAATTCATGTGCGTATCTTATGCATAATAAATAAGTGCTAGTTAATGCCCCCAAGCTCTTTTAGTTTTTGGACTTTTAACTCTGTTTTTCCTTCAACAAAATCTTAATTTTCTTTCATATGAAATAGGTGCAAAAATATATTTGTTAGAATCCCATTTTCAATTAACAGAAAGAAAAGGCAAATACAGACTGCAGAAGGAATCGGTGTTTTAAAAAGACGTTTTATTAAATGCCGACTCAAATGGCACATTTTTATTTTTCAATTTGACTGGTGTCACTGCTTAAGTGAGGGTGTTGAACTTTTGTACCCCTGAGATATGGGTCTGATTTAGGGTTGGTAGGCATCAGAGGTTGTTTTTTTTTTAACCAGAAAGCCCAATCAAAAAGAGACCCTGGCAGCTCTGGTCAGCACTGCTGCCCACGCCATTAAAAGTGAAGCTGGTAGCACAACGGCGACCCAGGGATAAGACAGGCTGTCTACTTGTGTGGCTCCTGGAAGTGGCCACCAGGTCCACGAAGCTCCTAGGCATAGGGAGACTTCATCCACATGCTGCCCTCTGATGCACAGGTGCTGTCCCTCAGGTCCTATTGGGTGCAGTTCCTGGCCAATGAAAGCTCCAGAGCCAGCACTAGGGGGTGCAAGGAATACACAGAGCACTGGTTCCACAGCTCCCATTGGCCAGGAACTGCAAACAGTGGGAACTGAAGTGGCAGTGAGGGCAGCTTATGGATAGAGCCTCCCTGCACCTCGGGGCTATCGGGACCTGGCATCTATTTCCTGGGAGCCACAGTAAGCACTGCTGGAACCCTCCTCTTTCAATCCCCTCCCATACCCCAATCCTTTACCCCCAATCCAGAATGCCCTCCCACACTGAAACTCTCCCAGTGCCCACACCCCTCTCCCACCTACAGCCCATCCCTTGCCCAAACCTGGAGCCACCTCCTGTATTCCAAGCCATTCATTCCCAGCCCCACTCCAGAGCCCTCACCCAGATAATAAGTTTTGTTTTTAAATCCATCATACATATGTTGTGGGGATCCCGGATTGTACATGGTAGATTTAAACAACAGCCCTCTGAATGAGTACCAAAAACCTGAGGAAGAAGGAGGATATAAAATGCTCACAAAGTTCCATTTGCTGTCCAGTGGTGACAAAGCACTTGTTTATTTACAACACATGCAACTTTGTGCACCACCACCACCAAATTTGATGAGCAAAATAACAAGTTTTGTAGCTAATCAGCAGTTGTAGTGACATTTCCTTCCGTCTCAGAAAACCTCCAGTTACACAAAATATATGAACTGTGGTCAGCCGGTTTTGTAAAACAGCCCTGTTTGTGAGATAGAATCTAAACACTGGGTCATGATCTAGAGTTGCCATCAGGTATGAAGGCTCAATATCTGGTTGTGCAATGCGTAGCTGCAGCGGAGCACCTCTTTTGAAATGTTTCCTTGCATCATTGTATAATGTTGTCGTATCCTGGTCTCCAGCACCACCTGTGGGTCGTCTGCTTCTTGCTTGGTCTTCCATGGCTCGGCCCTCCAGCCAAGTTTCATAAAGGTCAAATCCCTTCTGGGGTAACTGAAAGGTCTACATGAAAATCCAAACACATTTGAGTAACTCTTCTGTTACCTTGGGATACTGAAATCCTCTGCTTCCCCATATGCCCTGTCTGAGGGCTTCCTCCCATAGGATCCTACTCTCCTCTCGGTCTCTCTGTAGGCCCCAACTTGCCCCACACCAGCTTCCAGGAGCCTTGAGTGCTCTATGCAGGCCTACTTCCATAGGAGAGTCTTCCCTTCTGGTCAGCCTCTTCCAGGATCTTGCCTCTTTCCGGGGCCTGCTACAGGGATCAGTTCTCTGTCTCTGGCCCTTCCCAGAAAATGAGAGGAAGCGTCCTACCTCCTCTTCCCAGAGTCTTCTCCCTTCAACTGAGCTCAGCTCTGTGTAAATCAGGGGTGGGGAACCTAAGGTCCAGGGAGCTGGATGCGGCCCCGGGTTGCCTGGATCTGGCCCCTGAGGCTTAGGGCCTACCCCAGCATTGGGGAGCCTGCATGGTACTCTAGCTCCTCTGTCTCTGCTGCCTCCCCACAGTCCCCAGACCTGAACTGATTTTTCTGTAGGTCATCAGCCCCTGACCTAAAAATGTTTCTCCACCCCTGGTTTAAGTAGTCCTCTGCAAGCCAGCTTCCACGAGCCCCTGGGCAAAGTGGGCGCAGAGCGTCTCTGCGCACCCAAAGGAGCAAGGCCTCAGGAGGAGTGGTGGGGCTAGGCAGCCAGTCCTTATAGCCTCCCAGAACATGCAGCACGGTACTTTGATTGAAAAGACTCAGAGTTCCAGCTGCTGCCACTGCTGTAGTAGAGTGAGTGCAGCCTAGAACCCTGGGCCTCTTTGAATCCAGGCATCAGCCTCCTTTTTTCCCCCACCCACTTGTCAGTGGGCTTGAGGGCTGGCCAGCCTGGGACACTGGTCTGCTGTTTCTGTAGAGCTGAGGGGAGGAGAGTCAGTGCCTGAAGGTTTAAGAAAGTGGCGAAACAGCCTGAGCCAGAAGAGGCAGTTTCTCCATTGTTGCATCTATGCTTAAGAAGGCAAAAAGGAACAGCTGGGACATATCTAGTTCTTTGTCTCTGCACTCCCAGTCAGAAAGGAATTGGACTGAGCCAGTTTTTTCTTTCCTTCTTTGTATTGTAGCAGTGCCATTGTGCTAGGTTATAAAACAAAAAGATAGTCACTGCCCCAAAGAACTTACAGTGTATGTAACAATTTACAGTATCCCCATTCTTCTTTCAGGATTCTTCTATCCTTCACTCAGAAAACAGATTTCCCTTTAGTTTGGGGGGGTGGAGAGGAAACACCCCAACATGGTAGAAATAGTGCCTTTTCATTCCATCTTTAAATAAACCAATGGGTTTAAAGTACAGCAGGGGATGAGGGTTGAGGAGAAGGTTAGGGTTGCCAGGTGTCTGGTATTGAACCAGACAGTTTGGTATTTTCACCTCCTGTCCGGTAAAAAAAATTCAGAAAATACTGGACACCTAAAATGTCTGGTACTTTCTGATTTTTTCCCCGGCCAGGAGGCGAAAGTCCTGGGCTGTCCGGCTTAATACGGAGGCAGCCTGGTGACCCTAGTGCTTACTGGGTTCCGCAGAGGAGCTATCCAGCCCCATGCAGGAAGGCAAGATGGTGGGCGGCCACCAGTAGCCTGTTTGAGCCAAAAAGCCTCACGACGTATTCACACATTTTTTAAAGGGGCACTGTTTTTGCGGATTTTTTTTTTTTTTAAGTAACAACTCTCGGGGTCCTTTTTTTTTGCCTTCGGTATTTTTTCTGAAACTATCCAGCAACCCTAGAGGGTCCAAAACGGAGAACTAGTTTTACAAAGCACAGAAAAGTTTGAGTGATTGGTTATATTGAAAAGTGCCATTCGTAAGTTTTTAACGTTGTTACTCTTTTATACTTTGTTACACAATTCAAGATATATAGTACTCACAAATAAAATCTGGCTTGTTGCATATTTATACACTGTACAGCAAAAGAAACTTTGGTCCATATACAAATTATTTTTATTTTAAGTCTTCTAGGTATATTTTTAAAGATTCATATATACATTTATATCGTTTGTGGAAAATCAGCAAGGTGTCTTGTTAGACAGATTTTCTAGTCTGCCCTTTCTTTGGTTTGAGAATACAGATAATAGTAGTCCTTATAGTTCTTTAGTTAATTAGCAATTAAAATAATTCCAGGCCTAGATGCATTTCAAATTAATTCATTCCAATCACTGATAGAATGTAGAAACATATGATCTGTGAGAGCGTGAAGATAGGAGGGTCTGGCATCACAGGGGTTAAACAAAGCCTTTTGGCCCAGCTAGCCCTGTCCTGCATTAAATGTAGCCAATGCCAGGCCTGGAGGGAGGATAAAAGGAAGGAGACTGACTCAGTGAGGGCCTGACCAGCAAGGAGACGTGAGTGCAGATCTGCAGGACATGAACCAAAGCCTGTCCCCTTGGCCAGCCACAGGAGCAAGTAAGCCTCAAACCCCACCCACCTGGGACAAAGGGGGGAACCTACTAGAAACCCTAACCAATGGACAGATCTGAACTCTTGGGGCCATGCCCCATCTCAAGGACTGTACTAATATAGTGGGCTGCAGTTCCTAGGCCTGGGGCACCAGTAGCAGGATTCTGCACCCCTTTTCTGCCAGCTAATTCCGTGACCTAACCACTAGGCCACCCCACTGCCTAGGAGCAACTGGTCACATGATCATATACTGAAAATGCTATATAACATTGCACATCCTTAAAGATGCTTATCTTGTCTCTGTAATCAATGGGAACTAATAAATATTATTTCAGACTGAAGGTTTGATGTTATTTTATAACCCTTAGGGCTTGAGCATACATAGCTGAGTGGAAGCTTTGCATTTCCTTGGATGCACATAGGATCAAGTAGCTAAAGACTAAAGCTGGAATAATTCAGTGAAGAATTGGAATGCAAGGCTTCTGGATCTCTCTAGAAATCTTCTTTGTAGTAGTCCTGAAGTAACAAGCATAAAATGATTAACAACAACCAGAAGTGATAGCAGAAATTATTTTCTTTTAAAAATGAATATTTAATATGAAATGAAAACCGAAACAAAATGAGTTTTAAAGTAATCCATATTGTACTACACTAGCAATATACATGGCTATTACTTTTAAACTCTGAAACCATAAACATGAAATAAAAATGCAGGTTGCAAGAAGAAATTAAAGAACTACAGTAATAAAAAGGCACAATGGAAAGCTAATTTACCCCCAGCCTTCAAGAGAGACTTTTAATGTGAGCTATGTCTCTGTTAGGAATATGTGAAACTTCTAGTATCTGTATTTTTAATAGAAGTTTTTAATGAATGTGAATACTATTTATGGGGCCAATATAACATGAGATCTGGTATTTCAATTCCTGGTTGATAGAAATACTGAAAGAAGACCAAATTTTCTGTTTCAGCTACTCAAATAGCTCCCTATGGCAAAAAAGCACTTGAAAAAACATTACTAAACAATACTGAGGTATTTGGGTTAATATTGGTTTCTGAAGAAACTGAATGCTCAGTTGTGAAACCTTATTGAATTTACTCACCATGTAAAGCACTGACTCATGCTACCCCGATGTGGAATGTAGGCCATTTTGTACGTATGACAGAGTGTTTAAGGTGATTTAATTCCAACATAAATCTCCCATTTTTGGTGGATAATTAGTATGCTGATGGCAAAATGGGAAGTGGTATAAAATAATACTCTTTACATTTCATTTCAGTTGACCTTGTTTATTCACTGAATTTTCTAGGGTTTGAGTCATCTACATCAGCATAAAGTAATTCATCGAGACATCAAGGGACAGAATGTTTTGCTGACAGAAAATGCAGAAGTTAAACTGGGTAAGAATGGAATAGAATTTGTGCCAAGTGTAAGGAAAGTGTGGGTGAGTTAGGCTGGGTAGATGAAATGAAACCGGTAGAGAAGGAGTAACTGACTTGCCTTCTTGGGGAATGAGGACAGATCAGGTATGGTCTATGCTTATTATTTTGTGCTAGACTCGTTAAAATACATGTGGATTTAACTAAATACTGTGACAGGTTGGATCACTGGGGTCCCCTGAGAATGGTCACCTAGTGTGCTCGTCATGCCACTGTGCCTGCCAACCTGTCCTGTGGAATACCCTACTACTCTGTCCTACTGGGCCAGAAGCTCTGGTCTCACACAGCCAAGGCACAGAGTTGGGGTAACAATCTCTCAACAGAGCAACACAGACATTGAACCGGCTCAGCTCTGGAAGGGCTCAGCTATATAAGGCTGCTGACAGCACCCAGGAAAACAGCCCACTCCCCCCTCCCCCAGAGGACCAGAACCCCAAATAAATCCATCTTATTCAGTATAAAAGTTTTACGCAGAGAAAGCTTATAAGTCTGTCCTCTATCAGAGATAGGCAGAGTGGATTGCTCTCCTCAGGTCCCTCCCCTGTTAAAAATTATTTACACTGGGCTTGATAATAAACAAAAGTGTTTTTGTAAAGTATACAAAGCAGATTTAAATGATTACAAGTGAAAACAGACTGATCAAAATATGTTTCTAAACCAAAATAAACAAAACACACCAGCTAATCCTAATACACTAAGAAACTCGTTATGTGCAATTTCTTACCTTAACAGTTGTTCTAATTATTTTTCACAAGCTAGGCAGCCTTCTAGCTTGGGCCCAGTCCTGTCCCCTGTTTCCAGCAGGCATCTTGGGTGTACAAGAGGAATCTTTTGGCATCTGGTTACTCCCTATATTGTTGGTTCCCCCATTTATATCCCTTTTGCCCAAGATGGGAATTCTTTGTGCTCGGTTTCAATTTTTCTCACCTTGAGTGGAAATGTACAAGATACAAAATGCGTTCCAGTATCAGGTGGCCTGGCCACATGTCTTGGTAGGACAAACCAGTTTAGGCTTACAGGAAAAACAAACCCATTCACAGATTGTTGACTTGATCACACAGTCACTGAGCTCCTAAAATATCACTAATGGCTTTTACTAGAATATTTGGTCTAATAAAACAGGTTCCCACTTAATATTTCTAACTTCATATTAGGGTTGTTAAATTTAGTTTAATCAAGCAATCAACTAGTTGATAGATTTTCCATTGACTAGTCAATTAGTGGATAAGCAGAGGAGCTGCAGCAGTGTTAGCAGGGAGCTAACCCTGCTGCGGCTCTGCCTTTTAAGTGTATTAAGAGCGGGCAGCATTCAAAAGGCTGAAGCGCAGGAGGGGTGACCCTGCACGAGCTGGGACAGCTGATTCCCCATTTGTGTTGGGTCCCCCCACTGCGCACCAGCCTTAAATGTAAAAAGACTGGAGCACAGTGGGGAGATCTGGCGCAAGCTGGGAATCAGCTGTCCTGGCTTGTGCTTCCTTCCCCCCTGCTACGTGGCTCCCTTCCCCCCCATCGTGGCTCCCTTCCCCCTGCTACGTTTTTGATTTTTAAATATATTTAGAGCCAGTAGGCTCTTAATATGTTGAAAAAGCAGATGTTCAGTGTATGGGACTGGGCATGAGCTGGGAATTTTCTGATTCCCGGCTTGTGCCTGGGCCCTGCTACCTCCCTGCTTCCACCCCATCCCCCAGCGCAGAGCCTCTGAGAGGCAGCAAGGGGGAAAGTGACTAGTCGAGGGACTATCCGACTATCTGCTAAGCTTTTGCTTATCGGGTAGTTGATTACTCTACTAGTTGCTTACATCCCTACTTCATATACAAGAAATATGCATACACGCAAATAGGATATATACATTCGGTGAATTACTACTTTTAAAATGACCTGGCACATGATGTACTTCACATAAAGCATCTTTGAGTTATGCATATTCATATTCATAAGCCAATTTTCATAAAGCATGAGGCGGGACTGTGACAAATACCATGCACTAAACTATCATCAGATGATAGCTGATATCCAAATGTAAAAAAATTCACACGTACTGACATTTCCTGGGTTCACCATCATAGTTGGACCTGCAAATTGGGTAGATGTGCACCCATATGTGGATTTACACATTCATGATAACTTTGTATATTGGCTGAAACTCTGAATGTTGAAAATTCATTAATGCATGTTTCTACTATGGCCCTATTTGAGCTCCTTCAGATTTAAACTGAAAGAATTCCATCTCAACTGCACGTTGGTGCCTGGAACAATCAAAATCACAGTTTTACATTGCATTGTGGTGGTCTTTATGGTGCTGTGATCAATGCACTTGAGAGAACCTCAGTCAGAGCAATTATTGTGCATTCCCTTTCCAGCATCCCAGATACCTTCACCATCCTTCATTCTTCCCAAGCCCGACAACACATTAATGAAGAGTAAAATATAGCAGACAGCGTACAGTTAGTCATGGAAAGCTTGAGGCTCAGTTGTCCAGTACCAGCATAGTCAAGGTGCAGAAGGGCTGCTTGAACTTGCACCACTGATGTAGTGTTGTAGGCTGTCTCCGGGATCTCACGCAAGTGGAGGATTGGGTGGAGAGCCTCATTCAGTCATTTCCCTGTGTACCAGAAAAGGTGGCTCTAGCTCAGGGCACAGAACAGCTGACTGATGAAGGTTCCCCTTTCAAGAGGAAATTTGCCAACCATTTTAAGTTACATGGTGCAAAGTGAACTTGGTAAACCAGAGAGTTCAGCTAGAGTATTGAGCACTTTCCCTTTCATTTCCC